AAGTTGACGAAAAAGGTATTTATGTTTAAGTATGTAGGGTATCAATATTATTTAAAAAAATATATACATTTTTGGGAGCAGTAATTATTATTATACAAGGCAGCTATTTCGTATTATGTTTTAAACTTATTAAGAAAATCGTGGTTTGGTGAGTACTTTGTCGAGTACTAGCAAACTTTTTTGCAGATCTATTACGACTTGGTTGACTTCGATTGGTTGGTACCGAATTCAATCAAAATGCACCAACGGTCAATTATTTTGAATGTTGAGCACATTTGATTCAATCCAATGTATTGAACGACACATCGCTATTAAAAATAAGTAATTGATTGTTGAGTGAATTTTGAATAAATCCAATGCCAATTAATTCTAAAGCAATCGAGTTACGCTACAGACTTGCTTGGTTTGCTCGAATGTACTAATTTTTCATTCGTCGTAATTTTTTAGTAAAAACCTAATTATGACTGTAATAATAGTGCGTCCTCTTTTTATTATTAATAAAATACAATATAGGTACTTTAAGGTTGTCCAGAAATGACAATGCCAACACAGTAGTCAATATTTTATTACACGTCCAGCTCGGAAAACGGTCGTCTCCAGAATGGCCAAATCGCCCTCTTTTCTATCAATCGCAGACATTTTGAATATCATCCATCATACACTTATGTGTCTATTCATTATCACGGACTACGTAGTCTATGTTTTACTACAGACTACGCAGTCTATGCTCTATACTTTATAAAGACGCACATACACTGTAGAATATAATTTGTCTATGAACAGAAACTTAAAAGGTTTATTAAAAATAATAACACAACACTTTATCTGATAAGTCTTGTTAATGAAGATTATAATTTAAATATTGAAAGTTAATAAAAGTTATAATCTGCCGTTTATTGGATCGATAAAAGGTATTATTAGGTCTCTAATTTTAATCATTTACTTTGAGCAACCGGCTGGTCATTTCACCTTTTTATAAAGCTTTATATTTTGAATATTATCATTGACGTTTTAGTTTGGTCTGTCAAAATCTTGTGTGTCTTTACTTTGTCATCTCATTTGTTGTATATTTTAAATATTAATTTGTGATATCCTTCTTTTTACTGTTTTACAAATATATCATACTATTTGAATATAGTCCATCTTTCATAAGCTATTTCGTAGTTATCATTTACAACACTTAATACACTTTTATATTGCTATTTTAAAATATATTGTTACAGAATATTTTATATGAAAATAATTGCAATTTATTTTCCATATAATTTTTTTTTTGGTATTATTAAAGATCGATCTTTACAAAAGTCTCGTAAACTCTACCATAGCAAACCGTATGCATTAATTGCCATCTCTTCGCGCTTCTTATTGTATAATATTTATTAATGGTATAAAGAATTATTTGTATGATCATTTTTTGCAACGAAAAGGCTCGGTGGCTACAGGACTGATTTTTTTTTCTGTACGGGAAGCTACGTCGTACGTGGGTGACATTGGATACAATTGACTCGGGCGAAGTTACCGGAAGATAGCTAGTGTATTAAAATTGAATTGCGACTCTTCTTTATGCGCTAACCTGTTTTTACCTTTTGAAGGAAGACAAAGAAATAACCGACCAAGTCCGAGTCGGACTCGATAACGAAGGGTTCCGGACCGAAAACGAGTTAAAAATCACGTTTGTTGTTTGGGAGCTCCCTTAATTGTTTTTTGTATTTGTTATTGAAGCGGCATCATCAATACATTATCTGTATAAATTTCTACCGCCTAACTTTCACAATTCATGGGATACAGCCTGGTGACAGACAGAAAGTAAAGTCTTAATAATAGGGTACCTGTTTTACTCTTTGAGTACGAAATACGCAGGAACGAAAACGTGCTCTCGTGTAATTCAATCCTTATATGAATCAATTATTGGCGACTCGCCTTTTTCACATAGGTGTTATTTGCAAGTAATAAGCTCCTATATAGCACAATATTATTCCGATATTTTTATAGTCACGCATCAGTCACTTCACATAAAATGTTAGTTGATTTTTAATGAAAACTTCGTCAATTAACGGTGAAAATAGCATGAAATGCGAGTTGAGGGTTTTGTTTTGTAATAATATAGGATCGTCAATAAAATACCTAAATATATAGAATATCGATTAACAACACAGACCTCAATTATTAATTGCCATTGAAAATTGAGATATTTTGCAATGGCTGTCGGTTTCATATATTTTTTGCGTACGTAACTCATCTGCTAGATACATTTCTAAAAGTATAGCATTATGTTCATCTAATTTACAGATTTTATTAAACTTTTAGCGGTTTCTATCAGACACCGAAGAGATATGTAAAGGATTAATTATGTAAAGGATAAATTATATTTAAATTCCAAACTATCAACTTAACATTTTGTAATAAGAACAGAAAGTGGCATCTGTTAGAAAATGTACAAACAACATTGTCGGCTAAACAACTTAAATTACCTAATACAATATTAAGACAATTCACTACGTCTTAATGTACTTTTTAATGAAAATGATGCGGCGTATAAATGTGTTTTAAATAATAAGTAGGTACGGTTCAGCAGACCATGAGCTTGCAAATGATGGGAGTTGTCATTTCGTGACGTCATGGGGCGTCTGTCTAGGGCACAGCTATTACGTTAGATTAATTAAACGAAGTGCGTTTTCAAGGTGTAAACATGTTTCGAGTAAACAAACATGACTGTTTATGAGTACCACAATTAGGTACAATGTAATTCAACTGTGTTACTTCAACTGAGATGGATTTAACATTTTTTTTTCTGTTTAAGTCATTCGCTTTCTCTATGTTTGTTTTTATTATTTTCGTTTATGAATATTTTAGGCCATGTAGTGTAAGAGACCAGGGGCGATAGAGAAGGAATCAATTTTCGCCTATTTTCTTTAATAACTACTTAACTATTTATTTAAAACTAGCTGTTTTCGCACGACTTTACCCGCATCAATTATGTCCTGTCACCTGTCGATGATAAAGCTTCAAGAAGGTGAAAGAATTTTTAAAATCGGTTCAGTAGCTTCGGAGCCTAAAACGTAAACAAACAAACTACAGTTTTTTATGCGAAATTTAAAAAGTTTAACCTTAAAAGATGCGTTCATTTTTGTAATTCGTTTATCTGCATAAGAAGACTTACCGACTTACATATGTGTACATAATTTCAACTTAATCAATATAGTCATTCCGGTGAAAATGTATGGCAGATGGATAGACAGACAGACAGACAGCCAACCGAGTGATCCTAATCATCACCATCACCAGCCTCTTAATATCATCACTACTTAGACCTTCCTTATGCTAGAATAAAACATGGAGAATTGGCTATAACCCACCACGACGGCTCAGGGCCGATTGGTGGAATTACTTCAGAGCAGCCAATATCAACGACTTCGCGTGGAGTTACACGGAGGAGCTCATAATCCATTTTTGGTCATCCATCCTACGACCGTTACCTACCAAAATTTATTTAATTTCCACATCTTAAAATTCACTTATGAGTAAAGGCTATAAAGTTGATGATTATTTTAAGGACCGCAATGCATGGAATTAATAGACTTCGCTCTGTTCTATAACGATTAATTATAGGTATGTACCAACCTATGTCCTACAGACTTTGAAACTTGTATTTATTATTGTTCAATATATGTATTAATTTGGGAATGACATTACTTATGATAAAAAGCTGGTAAGTTTCATTCGCTTGTTCTTCTTGTCAGCTAAAAGACGTCCTGAACAAGTGGTAGGGGAAAAAATATTTTTGGACGATACAAAAGTGCTTGTAACAAGCTTACTTGAATAAAAACATTTTCATTTTCACAACAATAACTAAACGCGCTAATCACTGCGCCTTTGAGATCATAGGTTCTCTTTTCATTTAGAGAAGTGTTACCGTAAACCAGGGAAAACTCTGACAAAGTTTATTTATGAAATATATTCGTAAATTGTTTAGTATCACTCGAGCTGTCATTGTTTGATAACATAATTATGTTCTGAAACCATAACGATGAAAAACAATCCATGGAAGCCGTTTGCTTGAAATACACAGTAAAACAGAAATTACGTAGGCATTGTCTTGTTATTATGCCTATGAAAACTTTATTAAGGGAGATCTTTCGAATTCAACATTTCATTTATAAAAAGACAGTGACTTAAATTCAGTTTAATATTTGAAATGCCTAACTTTACCAAAGTAATGTTTGATTATTTATTTTATTTATTTTTTGCATTCCACAATGTAGTATTAGGATTTTTATTAAAAAAAACAATGGACCCCGTCGGGCACAGCAAATTTGGAGAGAGGGGAGGACACTGCTAAAATTTTATAAACTAAATAATTTATGTTTGAAAATTTACCTATTTAGCAGATATTTAAATTAAATAAATATTAATATTAAAATACAAAAGTAGAATATTATATTTAAATTAGAGTTAAAGTTTTTCACTTAATATAATAATTCTTTTGAGTTAATAAATTCTTGGTTTGTTTTATGTAATCTTTTCTTTATTTAAGTTTTTTATTGAGTTGGCAGATTATTGTATATTTTTATTGACATTGCTAGTGAAGAGTGTAATTTTAAGCTTGCGTTAGAAGTAGTTGTTTCTTCACGTTTTTTATAAAATTCCGGGTACGGTAATGTAAGAATTCAATATTTATAAAAGTATGATTTACAGCTGTTTATATTTTGTAGGTTAAAGATGATGCGAATCAGTTTTTTCTGCAATGTAAATAAAGATAGAATATCTGTGCTGTTTCCCCAAATGATAACACCGTAGCAGAGCCATTGCATATGCATACACGTAGCAGGTATTGAAGGTTGGTGGTACAGAGCAGAGTAGATAGAATTAGGTTTCGGGGAAGGTCTCCGTTGCGCTGGATCGACCAGGTAAAGCCTAGGTCAATATATATGTGAACGATAAACGCCTACGCGTGAGCTTTACTGCTCAGCACCTCCAGACATTATGCTTGACCAATGACTATGACTGCTCTAATAGGAGCACACGAAGAACAAATTCGAGGATGTAATATACTACTATTCATATTTTTGTATAGTTCTCCTCCTGAAGAAAGCTTAAACTCTTCATTTTTCGTATTGTTATTTAAAATAGGTACGTTAAACATTCTTTTGAGTGAATTAACTTCCACTAATTTATTAAAAATTGTATAAGAATAACGGTACACGACTAAAAAATATAATTTTAAGATGACTACTAGAAAAACCACTTTCTCGAAATATTATTTATTTAAATTAATAAATTCCAGGAACAAACTTTCACTATGCCTTCAATATTATAAGGTAGGTTAGGCCAAGCCAAGATTTGTGATATGTTTACAAATTTACCTGCTTTACCAGAGAAGTGGTACTCTTTCTTCGTTAACTAAGGAATGAAAAGGCCGGTAGAAGTTTGTAAGTGAAATCATTTATTTACTTATATTCTTAAACATGCTTCTACTTTGCCTTAACACCAAAAATATATTTATTTTTATATCGATTTAAAAATTACGTAAAATTTATGAAATCTTATTATACTTCTTAGCGTTTTACAATAAAAAAACTTTACGAACAAAGCATAATTAATTAGATTGACGTTAAAGAGTTTTCAACGTCTTTACTTAAAATATTTTCTTCTTAATTTCAAATTGTCATAGGAAAATGAAATGAGGTCGATATTCTTTGAAGCTGAGACGTATTTTTTTGCAAAATATAATATTTTGAACCGAATACAAGCATAATATTAATATCAACAGTAACTTCAAAAACTAATAAAGTACCTATACGTTAGATATGCTGGCATTCTACTACAGGTGTTAAGGAATACCAAATTAAAAAAAAAATCTATACAATTTTTTCTTATCATATCATCTTCATCACCAGTCTATTCATATCCTCACTGTTCAGGTCTTCCATAGAATGAAATCGAATCAAAATAAATAGGGAGAATGGGCTATGATCAACCACACGGACCCAGTACGGTACGGTACAGCCTAACTTGTGTTCGAGGCCCAGAAGAGCTCGAGATAAAAACTTTTTGGTCACTCATCCTATGACCGGCTTCAGCGAAGATTGCAACAACTGTATCGTGGACCGAGTGCGTTTTTCACTACGCCATCGAGCTACTCCTAGTTATATACTACTAGTATATCCTCCAAATATAGGATCGTTGTTGTATATCCTCTAAAATATTTGTATAATTTTAATTTAATAGGGATGATGACTAATTTTTGTTTGTTTGTCCGTAAGGTAGAGTGTTAAAAATATTAAATACGTATTTTTTAATTTTTTTCGTAATCATAAAATTACGGCGTTACATGGAGTTGAAATTTCGCATGACGTCATGTTATGGTACGTTTTCTACTCAACTGTGACGTAGCGAGCCCCCACTCCTCAACTTTAATGCCTGTTATCGAAACTATTTCTTGTTAAATTTAAGTAAAAAAAATACGTATCTAATATTTTTCTATTATCTGACTGACGGACTAAATAGAATTGCATTTTTTTTTTACCCAGTCGTCATCCCTATTATTGAGTTTTAAAGTTGCTATATAAATTCATATTCTGTAAACATTTCAAGTGTCTATTTGTTTTCGATATCGAGCAAAAACAAGCAAAGAATCACGTTTTTTTTGTACGAGAGCGCGATTCAATATTTATTTTATTCTGGTTTTTAGTATTTGTTGTTGAAGCGGCAACATAACTCATCATATGTAATAAATTCAACCGACTTACTTTCACGGTTCATGGGATACAGCCTGGTGACAGACAGACAAACAGACAGCTAAGTCTTAGTGATAGGGTTCCCGTTTTACCCTTTGGGTACAGAACCATAAAGAGAAAGAGGTTTTCGATTCATCTGAATGTATTAATTAATCATTTGTAATTCATTTTTATTTTTAAAATGGCACTTTGGCCTCAATTTCGTAAGGTTGTATCAACAGTATTTTGAATAAGTTTACGTATCTTTATCATTCATAACAGGGGTTTTCAAATGGATCCGAAGGGCTCCATACTGTATCCCGAATTCTTCCCCCTCCCTACCGAGGCACACCTATTACACATTGGCTTTCACCAGGTAGTCCAACTACGTTATAACCCGAATTCCTTTCATAAAGCGGCATCCGCTCATTCTTGTATTCGAATTATGGTTAGGATTTTTACAGAATCGACCTGCTGATCTAAAACTTAAGGTGCATGTCTTCTACGTTATCAAAGAGGTGTTTTATAAATGAGTAAAAGCAATGAGTTCCATAACTTATATAGTACAACCTTTTTTCGCGACTGCGCCTGCGTAAATTATAGAATATGTTACCCTTCTATGAATTATGATGTATTATCGCTTAAGAGAAAGAATTCTTATAATCGGTTCATTCGTTTCAAAACCTATTCAATGCAAACAAAAACCAATTAACAATCAAATCTTTCGTCTTTATAATAAAATATTAAGTATAGATCTTTAACTAAATCTTACCTCAATAATGGAAAAAAATAATATTTAATAACTAGAAAGCTATTCATAAACTCAAGTAATTTCTTTTAGAATTCAATTAATAAGAATAAACTACAAAGTTTATTCATAATGTTTTATTGGTTGACATATATTATTTTTTAAAGTAAACGTTTACAAAATGAGTTTTTAAAATTAGCTTAGCCGGAGACGTTTATTTATTGAAAAATCTTAAATGTTAATGTTAAGACATACAACAGATTGCTTTTACTTCGTTGTGGTTTTTGACCCTTAAGGTAGTAGTACTGTAATAGCAATGCAAATTTTATCAGACTTCGCCTAAACTTGTAGTAAGCTAATCTCCCAGATATTAGGTAGACAAGCTTTCATATATTATTCGTCTTATTGTCCTGAAGTTTGTCGAAGTACATCAGCAAGTTAAGTAAAAAGATCACACTTCATGTATTATACACAGTACAGCTATTGGTAAATATAATATGACATGTATCTAATTGAAACTACAATGATAAGATAGATAACTTATAATAAACAATGAAATAATTATTAATGAAAAGGGGATTTCTAATGAACGATTTATGTAAACGACATTTGTCCAGGATTTAAGTCTAAAATATTTACTATAATAATATTTATATTATAACCGGGCCTAAGTACAAAATACTGCCTCTATATTACTTGTCTATATTGTCTCAGGTCTCGGTGTTGTGTTACCTTCGTTGTCTCAGATACTCCATAATACAGGGGCTTTAGCTACTTATCTTGGAATCTGAGCAATGAATGTGAAGTTCTTTATAAAAAAAAAAAGTTCTTACAGCCTAACTAAACACATGTAAAGAGAACGGTGAATTGAGATTCAAATAGTTCATTTCTCGCAAAATAATACGATTATTTTGAAAATTCTCCGTAAAGCTCTCGGTCTCGCTCTTTACACATTTTCCCTATCATATAAGAGTAATAACGTAGTTTCTGATATCCAATCACAGCTTATTCGAATGTTATTTATTTGTAAAAACCAATTGAAAAAGATAGTTATGTTAGGTAATTTCAATCATTTGTGAATACAGTATGGATGAATATTAATTTATAAGTTCGTTCCAAAATTATGTGAATAATATACATAATTTTACACCAGTGAGACTAATGCCCGTTTTCACTAAACTTAGGAGTCGCGTCATTGAAGAATAGCATTTCAACAATTTATATATTAATGCGTTAATGAATAATAACGTGCGTTATACGGCGCCATGCGTTTGCGTAATATTACAGGTCACAAAGGAGTTACTCAGTTTAAAACTCATTGCAAAAAGAAACTAATTTATAACTCAGAATAAACTTAACTGAACGTAGTCAACGATAATATTTTGATCATCTTACGGGAAACCAGACTAGAGTATATAGCTTATATGGACAAATTAGACATTTTGCCTAGAAATAAAAAAAAAAACTACGCAATCAACTTTATCACATTTCAACACCACAACATCTATAAAAACATTCCGACAGATAATGTTGTATACACATATCTCGTTAGTAAACTATTGGAACACTAACGACTTAACTTTGATTGGCAAACTTTTGGCAGGCATCAGGCAGGCGGCGTAGAGCGGGTGATTAATTGATAAATTTAATAGCACACCGAAACAAAGACGACAGCAGAACATATGTTTTCATTGATAACAACTACGTAAGGGTTCATACGCAATAAAAGCGGTGTGGGTAGCGGAAGCGGCATCACTCGCTCGTCTCGTTGTGCCTCATATCTATAGTCGAGTAGAAGTAATTACATGAGTAAAAGTAATGAGTTAAGTAAATATTTATATTTATTTTATTTCCTTTATTATAGACATTTTAGATGTATCTAGTTATTATTATCATCTTGCACCCATTCCTTTTCCATTTTCAACACAGGTTGTCGTGAAGAGATCACTGCTTAGCAATATGCCGCCTACTATATACCTTCTTTCTTGTGTTGCTTCTCTGTATGTCCTGTGTAGGGTGCAATAAAACATATATTATTATTATTATCCTCTTATGATTTCTCAGCTTAAATCTGGTGAGTTTTCTCTAATAACACTGGGCACTGGCCAGGTATTATTATTATTACCTATAAATAGAAATTTGAATGAAGACCAATAGTAATTTATAGTTATTTTATCATGCAAATTATTGTCTTTTGGTTGAAATATTTGCTTTTAATCTAGTAATTACTTAATTACTAATATGATTGTTAATGTGTTCACTTACTAAATAACCGATGTGTTCACGATATTTGGTCGCGTTATCTGCTCCCACTGTGTCTATACCCTAACTTCTGTTTAGTAGCCAATTTACGATTCAAATGTCGTTTAAAAAAAATTTGATATATATAAAACAAAAAGTCGCGTTAGAAATTTTCCCGATTTTCAACACGGAAATATATTCTCGTTTTTTTACCAAACATCCCAAAACTCCAAGAGGTATGAAAACAAACTTTTACTTGGAGCTTTCATGTCCATAAAACTACAAACAGATTCAATGTTTATTATGAATAATTGAAAAAAGTTTACAGATGGAGTGACTTTATAATATATTACGCAATAAAGTATATGTTACTTTTATAGAGTTGCTAATTTATAATTGTTGCTCACAGGTTAGAACAGCGGCCCGGATTGCCAAAGGTCGTGGGTTCGAATCCCATCTCGGAGTACCTGGTACTGGTGGATTTTTTAAGCATCTTTCATTAAGATTATTTTCTAGGAAAGCATTGGGAATGCAAAATTAATCAATTAAAATAATTATATACTCACATTTTGCTATCGCAATTTAAATTAGGGAGCGATGAAATTTCAAACGCATATTGGTGGGTAATTGCTAAACTATTATTATTAATGAAGCTGCTCATTTTGATAAATAGTGCTTCAAAATAACCATACATTGCCTATTTTAAACCTATAGCTATTTGGATAAGATCAGCAATAACTCACTCTCAGAAAAGGAATTAGTGTTGTTACAGTAAGCATACAGTACCTCCTGAAACCTTATAATTAAAGAGAAGGTAAACTATCTATACATAGTTTAAAATAAAGTCGATTCCCGCTGTCTGTAAGCTGATATTTTTTAAACTTTACAATTGATTTTAATGTTCTTAATGAAAAAAGCTTAAAAAATCCACTTTGTCCCTGGAACTCTGTGATGGGATCCCATCTATCCACTATGGGATAGGATCCCATCACAGAGTGCCAGGGACAAAGTGGTTTTTTAAGCATTTTCATTAAAAAAAAATAAGTATAGTATAATGAACAAATATAATAATTTTAATGTGATTCTCATCAATATACAGACTGATTCAAGAGGATACATGACAAAGCCGTTGGCGGAAAGCTTAAAGTTATGAAACCAACAGAATCATAATAAAAAAGTAACCGTAATTTTTTTAATAAATACTTTAATGGTGCAGTCTTGTCTTGATTTCCAACGATTTCTATTTGGAAAATTTCCTACCAATATTAATAAAATACAAGAGCATACATTATTAAGACCGTATTACTTTTTGATGGTGCATTCGCCGAATTTACGTCTGTGCATAGTGTTCGATCGATGCAGTCTGAGTAACGCTGGTGATATATTTATAGACATTTTAACCTGGGTACAAAACATAACAACTCGGAAACGAAATAAAAACAATATTTGATTAATTTCACATTCGCCCGGAACTAAGTGGTGCCAGGGAGTAAGTGGATTTTTAAAGCATTTTGTATTAAGAATAAATAAAAAAAAAATCTGAAAAGGGGCGCGATGATATTTTATTAAGTTTTCTTTTTCTATGGATGGAATCGAATAGGTGCCGGATAGCCGGGACAACGGCTTAACGTGCCTTCCAAAGCACGGAACAACTCGAGACAATAAGTTTTGGACACCCATCCAAAGGTCGGTCCCTTCTAAAATTTGCTTAACAACAACGATCGCGGGCTGCGGCGCTTAGGGATAGGATAGGGATCGAATAGGGAGAATGACTTATGACCCATCATACGAGCCCAGTGATGATTGATGGGTGTTAACGACTGCAAATGCAGTCGGGAATACGATTTAACGTGCCTTCCGAGGCACGACAGTTCGAGATAATTTTTTTTTTTTCACTTCAAACAAACATGATTTCGCATTGCAAAATAACTTATTTACCTTCATTTCTAACAAATTTTTAGAATAAAATCTATCCTTGTTCGCCTCGTACCTTTACAGTTGAACCCCAAAATATCCTCGAACCCTCTGCGTGCGGGCAATGTGATTTTATTGCCAATTTGCCACTCGCCAACCTAAGGCAGAGTATACAATTTCACACTGAACTAAATTTCGTCTTAATTGTTTTAAATCCACATTATCTCTAATAAACACCAGCAAACTTTTAAAATGTATACAACTGAAACAAAAATTGACAGTAAATTGTTTATTATCAAAGTTACTTTAAAACAAGTAATAATTTTGCTATTCCGTTTGAAGCGTTTCGGTTGTAGACCCCCCATCTACAACCCTAACGCTTCACGTTTTTGGCGCATATGTATAGTATATTTCTCTACAAAAACACCATCTAACGCAGCATTAAAGAATAAAGCGTAGCGGATAAGCGCCGCGGGCCACGATCGTTGTCGTTAAGCAACTTTCGCAAGGGTCGGTCACGGGATGGGTGACCAAAAAATTATTATCTCGAGCTACTCCGTGCTTCGGAAGGCACGTTAAGTCGTTGGTCCCGGCTGCATTTGCAGTCGTTAATAGCCTCCAATCCACATTGGGCCAGCGTGGAGGCTCATGGTCCATCCTCGTTAACCATCCATAAGAAAGGCCTGAGCCCCTGCAATAGGGACGTAAAAGGGCTGATGATGATGAAAAGGGTAATTGCGGTGTCAGTCACTGCTATTTTGTAGGCGGTGCACAGATTGCTGTGGAAATCAAGTGGGTTGAGAAATAGTTATATATCATTGTTTTGTAAAGGTGCACCGTTCACAAATTCCTAGGTACTACAAATTAAAAAAAAAATTGATAGGTACGTTTTTTTTTGAGTAGTTTTATTGTGATTTAAACCAATCATCTAATAATTGAGTTTTACAGTTTTAGATCTTAAGGAATATTCTACATATCGCCTTTCAATATTTGACATGTGTAAATAAAATTACAGAACATTAAATTATCGAGAGATTCCAATAGAATTTTCTATCAGATTGAATCAACACGACTTATTACCAACGCTTCGATTTTCTGACTTCGATGTTATTACACAGTCAATTTGGCTCTTGTCGACTTGAAGCCGTGTGTACACTATTAGCAACCGAGCTAAATTACTCAGCGTTCAACTTGTTTAGCATAGCCAATACAATTAACAAGTTCGAAATTGAGCGGTCTATTCGGAAATGTTTTTAAATATTCGCTGAGGTTTAAGGAAGGGTGATATTTTTAAATTTACTCGATTATTATAATAGAGGGAAAATATTCTTAATGAAAAATCTCATCTCAGAGTATTAGGAACAAAGTGGATTTTTAAGCATTTTTCAAGAAGAATGTTTACTCGATTATTTTGTTTAGTATATACGAGTATAAGTGTTTTGGATTTCGTTTTGATTTAGGAGTTCGCTCTGCAATTTTGGAGGGCTTTCAACTTTTACATAGCTTAACATAACATACGCTTGTCATCTGTCAATGATATGGAAGGCACGGCGAGCCGTTCATCCCAGCCATATTATCTTATCGTTAACACCCAATAATTCACAATAGGTACGGTGGGTCCTCTCCCTGAGTGATCAACAGGAGAGATACTCAGTATTGAAAACATTAATGCTGATAACGTTCACATATCTTTTGGTTGGCAATAAGGATTTACAATTACTTGTTTATTCAATTATCACAAAGAGTATTTTATTGGTAATGATAATGAATTCGGTATTGATTGTTTCAGAAACGATATGGCATGAGCGGTGGGGTGGGCGCGACATGCGGCGCGTGCCGCTCGCGCAACACGCCGCTGTCGTTATCGCGTTCTTGCTCCTGTTGCGTCTCGTCAACGCCGGTGAGTAAAGACCCAATCCAATCCAATCAATCCAATGACGATCTCGATTTTCATCAAATTTTAGACGATCTTGGTCAATGGCAATTAGTTTATTCAATAACCACGTAATATTGAACTAATTATCGCTAATGTACCAAATTTACAGTACGAATCTATTGCGATTGCATTCAAGAGTAAGCATGCTGGAGTATCAACATTGATAGCGATCGCAAAGTTCACTGAACGCGCTTTCAAATTTGATCGCTTGGAATCGACCAATATCGCTAATTTCATAGTTTCACTGGTTTTGAGCCTGATAAATAACGATATACCAAACAGGCATGGGCAACTTTGGATATGTTGTGGGCCAAACTTTAGTGTGCAAATACTTTCGCGGGTTGTGTTTAACAGTAGTACATTTTAAAGTAGTGTTGTAGTGCTCATATTTTTTTTTGCGACAGTATCAGACGTTAAATAATACGACAATATAAATTAGGTTTTTCAAAATGTCTCCGGGCCGGCTCTTGCCCACCGTGAGCTTAGATAATAGGCATTGAAGTTGATGAATGGGTGCTCACTACATCACAGATTTGTAGAAGATTTGTTGAACAAGGTTTGAGGGTCGGTGTAAACCTAAAATCAGAACGAACAAAATATTCCTAAACTCAAGCGATTATCTGTCAGTACATTGAGCGTACTAATGGATGAACTTTACTCTGATCTGTATGACCGTTGAAAATATTTAATAAATACAGAAGGTACTGCCCATTTTAGTTGTTAATTTAAACATAATCTTTCACAAAGATTTTACATTCGACTATATCAATCATTATATTAATTAAGCAATTTGGATGCAAAAATAGTTATTGGTAATTTTTCTTTCAACTGTATATGTAGATTTCGTGAAAACCGATGTAAATCTGCTTATTATTATTCTCAAAAAAAACGTCATTAATGAAAGTATTTGTGACCAAAATTTCTATATGTCATGCCTTTTAACCAGCGGACGACCTAGACACTTATACCTTAATTGTGAAAATTATGTTAAGAAATTTAGAAGAAGAATAGAAGAATACATTGCATTCTTTCTACATATACATGCATGCATCATATCCTTGCTATTTCCCAGCGATTTCGCTCGCTTTTATAGCCTGAAGTATGAACCCACGTATTAAGTAGCTTCCCGTTTATGGAAGCATTTTTATGATCGGATCAGTATATCCGAAGATTACAGTCTATAAATAAACAAAGTTAGAAACTTCAATTCTTTCTAATGTAAGTAAGAAAACTATAACCCTACTTTTTCGTCATTATCGCGTAATCATACTTATGATTTTAAAGTAAAACAAAAACATATAATGTTTCGCCAGTGTATACAACACATAACGCAGGGTGAATTATGGCAACGGTCGGCTTTGCCCTCATTCCTACATCGTCTTATTAACACTGATGTGTTGGAAATCACAACCCCATACTACATTTAGAGGCCAAGAAATCTCTAGTTTTTCTTTAGAGGTTAAGAAATCTCTAGTTTTTCTTTTTCTTATTAATATGTGTATAGATTCATCAAATCTCTTTTCATTTTAATATTGTTCAAAGGTGTTGAAATATGTTAGTATACAACTTGAATATTGTACTGTATTTTTTAAGTGTGATTTATCATATACACGACTACCGAAACTGAACTAAAAATAAACGAAACAAGTTGTATTATGGCAATGTTCCACAGAATGGTTTTGGCAGTCCGATAGGAAATGCAATTCTCTTTTCAGACGGGGCAGACCTTAGAGTTTAATTCTCTAAGGGACAGACCAATCATATTCAATAAGTATATTTAATGTGATTTTGCATTTTTAATTGAACTTCACAGTTCTATATAAATCACGATAAAAAGCATATTCGTAGTTAATAAAAAAAAAAATTATAAAAGAATATATGCAAAGTCCTAAAGTAACGATTGAAAATTTACAAAAATTTGACCGTTAACTGTAGAAGATCGATACCGTTAATTACTATTATTTTCTACTGTCATCTACTAACACCCACATGTCGATTCCCATTAATCATTGTGCCACATTATAAGGCTTAACAAAGGTTGTACTCGTATATATGAATTTATTCTGACCTTTTCGTGGTGAATAGAGGTGGTAATGGTAAGCTGCAATTAAATCTAACCCACGCTGCGTTTTGCAACGCGTGGGTAGGAAATCGATTTCATATTTTTATTATTATATCAGCCTGCTATGTAATGCTGTTAAAAAGGCCCATACTTCGATGTCTGTATTTGTATTTTTGTATTTGTATTACTTACACTTATTTGTATTTTTGTATTTGTATTATTGGGCCTTATTTTGGATTTTGGATGAATTATGGATGGATTTTGCCTTATTTTGGATGAATGTGGTACATTATTTTTTTCTACTACATATGTATGACAGCTTAGATCTTTAATGAAATGAAACCTTTATTATCTTTTGAGGTAGGTTTTATTTAATTGAACCTCAATGCTATAGTAGCAATAATCAATGAACAGTGTTGTATTGTAACTCTTTAGTTATTGATTTATGTATCTAAAAAATATAAATATATATGTCACTTGTCAAAGACGTACAAAACTCAATGGTTTTATTTACCGTATTTTTTATATTAAATAAATAATTTTAACATGGCGCAGTCGGTAATGAGATAATTTAGTATATTTAATGAATTTGTGAGTTAATAATATAAGTAAAAACAGTTATATAGTGACAGTTTCCTGAAAATTTTCAAAGATGGCTCAATCTTCGCAACTAGCCAAAGAAAAAATAACATCTCGATTACCATTGAATATCGGACTTCCTTTACCATTATCTTGGGAAGGTAATTTAGCAGATAATTGGGTATTTTTCAAGCAAAAATTTGAAATATATTTACTGGCTTCGGGGAATTGTGTAAATGACGATGAAATAAAAACAGCATTACTATTAAGTGCTTTAGGTGATCGTGCATTGAAACTCTATAACACATTGGTATTTGAAAACGATGAAGATAAGAAAAGATATGCCACAGTTCTCCAGAAATTTGATCAATATTTCTGCCCTGAAAAAAATGTGACATATGAGCGGTTTTTGTTTTTCACCCGTAATCAAAAGGATGGAGAGTCTTATGAAAATTATGTGATGGTATTACGAGACCTTAGCGCATCTTGTGAGTTTGGATCGCTAACTGATAGTTTAATTAAAGACAGACTTGTTTGTGGAATTTCCGAAATAGCTGTCAAAGACCGTCTCCTTCGTATGAAAAATTTAACGTTAGCTATAGCACTTGAAATATGTTGTACTTCGCAACGGACAAAACAACAAGTTGAAGCTATGTCATCTTCAGCTACGTTAAATTTAGTTTCACATGATTTTTCATCTCAAGTTGACAAAATTAACAAAAGAAATTCGAACAATATGAGGCGCACAGACGCAGAAATAAAACGTAACTCCGTATTAACGCAGCAAAATGATCGCAATCAATTCATTTGCAAGAGATGTGGTTACTCGCATGAAAGATATAAATGTCCGGCATTCGGAAAAAAATGTTTAAAATGTGGAAAATTAAATCATTTTTCTGCAAAGTGTCGGAGCATAAGAGAAGTAACAGAATGTAATGATATTGATACTCTTTTTCTAGGTATGGTTTTTATAAACTCGATTAATAATACACGTGACTGGTCTATAACCTTAGGAGTTAATAATTTTCCTTTGCAGGTTAAAGTGGACACTGGAGCACAGGCAAATGTTTTATCAGATAGATCGCTGATTAACCTAGGTATAGATAAAAATAATCTATTACCAGTAAATACTAAATTAAATACATATACGGGCGAATGTATTCCATGTCTAGGTCGATGCTCTTTCTCTTGTAAGTACAATGACAAAATATTTAATCTTAACTTTTACGTTGTTTCTGGACACTATACTAATATATTGGGATTAAAATCGGCTATTGATATGCAACTTGTTAAACCTGTGTGTAAAATAAATGAAAAAATAGATTTTTTACGAGAATATAAAGATATTTTTGAAGGTTTAGGTTGTATAAGAGGGGAGTATGACATTAAAATCAAAGAAAATTATGTGCCTGTCATACATGCATGTAGAAAAGTACCTTTAGCTGTACAATCTCGTTTAAAAGAAAAACTTAACGAAATGGAACAACAGAATGTTATTGTACGTGTAACGCATCCAACTGAGTGGGTGAATTCTTTAGTAATTGTTTACAAACCGAATGGAGATTTGAGATTATGTATAGATCCTAAAGATCTTAATCAAGTTATTATGAGGCAACATTTTAGCTTGCCAACATTTGAGGAAATTACAAGTAAGTTAACGGATGCAGCTGTTTTTAGCACGCTAGATGTCAAAAATGGTTTTTGGAATATTAAATTATCAGAAGCTAGTACTAACTTGTGTTGTTTTAATACACCGTTTGGTAGGTATAAATTTTTGAGAATGCCATTTGGTTTGTGCAGTGCTTCTGAAGTTTTTCAACAAAGAATGCGAGAGATATTAGAAAATTTAGAAGGGACTGAGGTTTTTATTGATGATATTTTAATTTGGGGAAAAGATCAATTAGAGCATGATAGACGGTTAAGGTTAGTTTTAGACCGTTTAAGACAAGAAAATGTTAAATTGAATAAAAATAAATGCAAATTTAACTTGTCTGAAGTTAAATATTTAGGCCATATAATTAGTAAAGACGGGATAAAGTTGGATGACGAGAAAGTCAGATCAATTGTCGCAATGAAAAGTCCTCAAGATAGGAAGGAGTTAGAAAGGTTTTTAGGTGTTGTAAATTATGTTTCCAAATTTATTTCTAATTTTGCTGATGTGAGTTCTCCTTTAAGAAATCTTCTGAAAAAAATAATGAATTTGATTGGTTAGATATTCATGAAAGAGCTTTCCAAAACTTAAAACAGAAGCTTGTTTCAGAGCCAGTTCTTCGATTTTTTAATGAGGCTCTTCCTGTTGTACTTTCTGTAGATGCGTCAAAAGATGGTCTTGGAGCGGTTTTACTACAAAATAACCTTCCTGTGGCATATGCTTCTAAAGCTTTAAATGAATGTCAAAAAAGGTACGCTCAAATTGAAAAAGAGCTTCTTGCTATTTTATTTGGTTGTGAAAAATTCAATCAATTTATATTTGGTAGAAAAATAACAATTGAAACAGACCATTCTCCTTTAATTGCTATAGTTAAAAAACCAATAAATACATGTAGTGCACGTATACAGCGAATGTTACTTAAATTGCAAAAATATAACTTTGATTTAATTTATAAGCGCGGTAAAGAATTATATTTAGCTGACACTTTGTCAAGGTCATTTGATATTAATGATTCCCTCGAAATTGACTTAGATAGCGAAGAAATTGAAGCTCAGATTAATTTCATTGTAAACAGTATTAATGCATCAGGGTCACAATTAAATAATATTAAGCATTTCTCCACAACAGATGAGGAGTTAATTATTGTTAAAAAATACATAGCTGATGGTTGGCCATCTCATAAAAATTCACTTCCAGAATTAGTGAGAAAATATTGGCCTGTTAGAAATGATTTAACTTTGAAATCTGATATTATATTTAAAGGAAGCAGTATTGTGATTCCTGTAGGGTTAAGGCGAGAAATGCTAGAACGTTTACACTTTCCACATTTAGGTGTTACAAAAACTTTATTAAGGGCACGAGACTGTCTTTATTGGCCAGGTATATATAACGATATTCATAATTTGGTTTCTTCTTGTGACATTTGCAAACTTTATAGTCATAATAATAGGAAAGAGACACTGATACCACACGAGGTTCCACATTATGCATGGCAAAAAATAGCAGGTGATTTATTTGAATTAAACGGAAAAATGTATTTGTTGATTGTTGATTACTTTTCTAAATTTCCAGAACTTTCATTACTAAATAGTACAACTAGTGAAAATATAATTAATAATTTAAAACATATTTTTAGTCGTAATGGGATTCCGGAAATATTTGTTAGTGATGGTGGTCCACAGTTTTCCAGTGAAAAATTTGTTTCGTTTTGTGAAAAAT